GGGGGGGGGGGGGGGCGGTTCGTTTATACCAGAGAGATGGTACACCAAAGAGGATTGACTAAAGTAGAGGCTCAGATCTCAGGGTTGAAGTGACCCCAAGCCAAAAATAGTTCGACCCCAATGGAGGTATGGCTCGGCGAACTGCCTGTGCGGGTAACTCGGCAGTAGCAGTCCCGCTGTCACAGGTATAGTTTCGGAGGGTAATTTAGGCTCTCCTCGTCATCAACATGTTCTTAATGTTTTCAGGTGATTCATTTGCTGGCTAATTAATATTAAGGAATGAAATCCAGACGGTGTGATGGAGAATTAAATTCCCCATCAATCGATCCCCGTTGCAGCCCTTAATCTCTGTAACAAAAAAATACGAACTACGACAAAAGTCATGGGCCAGTGAGAAACATAATTTTCTTCTCGGCACACAGTGACTTTGAAAAAATTCTAAGAGAATTAGAATTTAGAGAGAAAAAATTTCCGCTTCACCCAGCCGGGAATCGAACCCGGGTCTCCCAGATACGCGCCGGGTCCTCTTACCGAATAAGCTACCGGGAACCACAGAAATTCACTCTCAAATTCACCTCAAACACCGCCTAACCTCCTTTAGGCATTAAAGAATTCTAAGAGAATTAGAATTTAGAGAGAAAAAATTTCCGCTTCACCCAGCCGGGAATCGAACCCGGGTCTCCCAGATACGCGCCGGGCACTCTTACCGACTAAGCTACCGGGAACCACAGAAATTCACTCTCAAATTCACCTCAAACACCGCCTAACCTCCTGTAGGCATTAAAGAATTCTAAGAGAATTAGAATTTAGAGAGAAAAAATTCACCATTCGCCCACGAATTAAAAATTTGTCTTTCCTCTCCTAATTGAAATTAACGAATGAAAAAAAGGCTGTTTGACGGAAAACTAAATTACTGATCAATTAACACTCTTTCATCCCTGAATCTCTGTAAAAAATGGAAGAAACTGTCATGGAAATCACAGCGCAGTAAGAAAAATAATTGTTTTGCGGCGCACAGTGACTCCCGCTAATCAAAAATTCACCTCTCCCCTCCTAATTGAGATTAAGGGATGAAAAAAGGGCAGTTCGACGGAGAATTAAATTCTCCATTAATTAACCCTCTTTTATTCCTTAATCTCTGTAACAAAAAAATAAAAACTGCCATGAAAGTCAGGGGCCAGTAAGAAAAATAATTTTTTCGCGGCGCACACTGACTTTTCACCATTCGCCCG